TATATAGTTGTATCTGCAACTGTATTTGTTAATGTTTGGAACTTTTAAAATATTGCATAGTAAAAACAGACGCTTCACTTCATATTAGTGACAAACTGGTGTTTTTTGATGAGTTACTTTCATTTTTGCTTCTACTTTTCATTTAAAATAAGTTTTCGTTCTCGGCAGGTTTCTAAGGTTCTTCTTCTACATATTAAAAAATGTTGTTAAACAACTGAGTGGTGCACTACCGCTACTGGTGGTGAGAAAGTGTATTGCACCTTATTTAAAATCAATGTGGTCCCATGGTCCTCTGCGGCCCAAAGTTAAAAACTGTTGTTCTTTTGAGGCCCTCAAGGATGCGCCGCAGCCCACAGGTTAAGAATCTCTGTCCTAGCAGGCTCCATACATCACAAACTAGTGGAAACAAATGTGTGTCAGTCTGTTTTGAATCTAACAGACTGAGGTTTTGCCTGAATCAAAACTACAAACATTGTATTTTCAGGTAAAGCAGTCATATCAAAGATCTGCCCTATAAAACATTAAAGCTTACATCACAGAGAAAACAGTTCATAAAAGTTTAAAAGTTTATCTATCTATCTTTCATCCAGCTGCAGTGCATTCTCCGTCTTCTCTGGCTTATTGGGTCTATAATCCTTCATAGTCTATTTCACCTTATGATGGGATCGTCAATCCTCACAAAAGACCTGAACTTCATGCATATTTGATGTGATCTAATACATTAAATCCCCTTTTTTACACTGCATTGGTTAGAGTGGTGACCAGCCCGCAGCCAAACTGGGTGTCCTTTGAGAACAACGTTTGTGACAACTCCTTTGTCTTTTTTATAGTACCACGTCCACGGGGACAGTCCTACTTTGAGCGAGTTTTGCTCTTTTACGCACAAGTAAAAACTTCCTGGAGCTTTGTTGCCACAGTCTTTCTCCATTCATTAAATCAGCCTCGGGCATTTTGTTCTGCCTGCAGCGTGGCATTGGTCCTCGCCTGCTACTCTCCTCCTCTTCATCATCTTCCATTATCTCTGGTCTTTTGATCAAAAGCTAAGATGTTACGAAAATTCTGACAAGATCCGATGCCCTTTCATCAACAGTAATAGATTTTATTGAGGCTGTAGGTTAGCGGGTGCTACAAGTCGTTTAAGGTTACACAGCCTCTGGCTTCACTCAAACTAGTGCAGGAGGGCAGATGTGTTCAGGCAACCCTGAAGATAAATAGAGTTAGCGTTTTTTAACTGGGGGTTAGAGAGTGTTTGGAGAGGTTCAAGCCCACAGTTCGAATCAGTCTAGTGCTCATTAAAGTGTAGTGTGAAGCTGCAGAAAGTAGCTCGAGTAGTTCACATGGCAAGCACATCAACTGGGGTACTGGCTGTACAATACATGAATAAGTGGACTCTAAAAAGAAGATACGGCAGAATGGTTTGTCGAACTAAATATAGCAATACTTATGTGGAGATTATGTGAAGGCTCGATGTCAGAGCTGCAGCCAGCATAAAGGATTCGTTTCATGCTTCGTGGTACAGTCATCTTCCTCAGTTTTTTTTTTAGTTTTTCGCCACTCCAGTTTTACCAGTTTAAGCACATACGTTGGGATCAAACAGAAGTGCACGCACACAAATACACCCCGCCCCCCCGCCATGCAACAGCAAAACTGAGTTGATGGGTGAGGTGTCAGCATCACTTCGTAGACAGCTTGACGACAATCCAGCTGGAGTCACACATTTAAAGGTCACACACCGATCACACACTTTTTTTTTCTTTTTCCTCCCAACAGTCTCGCTGGCTCACACAGAAACACACACTCGCACATGCACACACTTTAATTAAAAGCTGCAATCAAGCTGGCTTCTGGATGTATTAGCACCTCTCTCAGACGTGAGAATGTCGTCATATTGCTAAAGTTATGAAAAAAGGTGTGTGTGCGTGTGTGTGTGTGTAAGTGGTGGGGGGCTGTGAAAGCCAAAATGAGAAAATTATTCATGCTAACATGTCACTTATGTCACTGAGAGAAAGTTGTAGTCTGCTTTCTATTGTTTGCTTAAAAGTACAACTGAATGTTGTACAAGCGCATGAAAACAATGTTATTTACACGTAGATTAAAATATAAAATCACTAGAGGTGTATTAAAAGCCTAATCTTAGAAATGAGGTCAAGAACTTAATAGATAAACATCTCACTTTAAATGTTTTGTTTATGTCTATTAAATTTAACTAATTAAATTTATGAACTACAAGATGTAAGATGTCTTCAAGGGGACATATCATGCAAAATCCACTTTATGTTCGCTGATAAATTAATTTTGTTGTGTGCTTGGAGACTCTAGGAGTGAAGAAAAGTTTAATTTAGTCTCTCCAGGTGCTGCGTAGATATCTCTACCTTCTTTTTGAGTCATATTTCTAAACTATTACATTATTGCAACAGAACTGCCAACTCCAGTTTGGTGGTCTTTATTCTCCTCTGGCTCTGGGTCAGACTCTGGTTCCAACGTACGGCTGGATGGACAAGTCTTCCGTTGTTGACGTCTTAATTCATTAGTAAATAAAAAGTTTTTGCACTGCTATATAGTCATCACAGCCTCTATTAAACTGGAATAGACCAGTCTGTAAGCTTAATTTACATTTAAATAAACAGCCTCAAAAGCGGGTTGATCTGATTCTGAGAAACACCTCAGAAAAGGAGTGAAAAAGGGGATTGTGGAGTTACAATAAAGAGGAATTCAAAACAAAGCATTGAAGTTCCACTTCATAAAGACCAAACTGAATGATTTAAATGTGAAAAATAAGGATTTAAAAGCAGGATAGATCTCCTTTAAAAGGTTCCATTGCTGCATCATTGTTGTCTTGGACTGCAAAAGTAGCAGAGTCATCTATCACTGATTGGGCCCTCATGAGCAAAGTCAGAAAAATTACCAAAAGCCCTTAGCCTTTCAAAGCTTGTCTTTTTGATGTTTTAATGATCATTGTCCAGACGGTGGCTCATTAGGGAGTTGGTACCTTAAGGGGCAAAATGTGCCATAGGAAATTTAAAGGCAATCTGTGAGTTTTTACTAAGATTTCCTGTGCACGTCCATGATTTATTTTTGTTTTTATTTCAGTCCCCTAATGCCCATTTATCTGTCACATAAAACGCACTTATTGCTGCTCCATTGCCAGCGTATAAATCTGCGATTCAATACACTGGAACAGATCAGCATGAAAAGTTAGCAAGAGCCAATTTTCTTTAATGCATCTTTTAAATAGAACTAAATTTAAACAGACATACCAGTTTCCATGAAAGGAATGAAAATTCCCAATAAAGATATGAGGGTGACTCAAAAGGAAGCCCTTGATTTATATACTAAAAGGAAAAGATGTGTGTGTTATATAATTATATTATTCCAGAAAATATGTTATTCATTTTTCTCGTTTTATTTAATTGAGGTCAGAGAAAGGATTAAACAAACCAAACAAGAATATTATAAAACTGTTTGTCTGTTTCAGGCTGTCTGAATATATTGTATATAGTTTTTTAGCATAATAAAAACCCTTATTTTATTGACTTAGTTATGAATGAACAACCACATTAACTGTTCTTGTCCAACATTTCCATCTGAAACTGCATTTTACTCTCACAACCCTCTAATACCCAGTGTTTGTTTTGTTTTAGTTCTTCCATCAGTCAAAAAAATTAGTTAAAAAGACTGAGCAAGTTTAAGAAAAGACATAACAGGTAGAGAGTTATCTTGTTACAGTAATGCTTAGCCCAAATTTACCTGGTGCTCTGGAGCATGCTATAAGCTGAGCCTAATCAACTTTAAACCCTTTCTTAGTGCTCCGTGTTTGACTTTCAGAATCCAGCCTGGATCCAGTAACAATGACAGACAGCACTGTCATATCAGTTCTTATCCCCACCAAGGGCACGTCTCATTTAAACTTAAATGAACAGACAGTGTGCAGCTACTTTACATATATTTGCTAGTCCAAAACTGCACCTGTCAAACAAGGTTAACCATCACAGATTCTACTGACAAGAAAGTGAGACGAAAACAGATAAGCTCTATTTACGGTGCAGATGATATGCCCTAAATTGTGGCGGCAGCTGTAAAAGGGCCTCGCACTCTCACATCAAAAGAATGGGAAGTGAGATAAAGGAAATCATCAAGCTGGAGAAAATAACCTCGGCAAAGGTGTGTCAAGGCCGTCGTGTCCGTCTTTACTGGGGGAAGTGTAGTAAACAGTTCCCTCAAAGGGATTAAATGTTATCAGGACAGAATGTACGCATTGTACCTAGATGGATGAGGCTGACATGTGCATTTAATGTACGTTTAAAGTGTTTTTGTTTTTCCTGTTAAACATATCACTCAGAAGAAAATGCACAAACTCTGTAGATGTAAGATAAGGAAAAATACATATTTGCTTTCTGAGTATAAATAAGAATTTCATTATTTATTTCAATCAGTGCACCTCCTTTTTGTCACAAAAGCAATTTAACTCTAATTTGAGTCCTGTATGACCATACAATGATTAAACTTGACTGTACACCTAATAAGACAGCCCCATGTCCCTGCATGGATGAAGCACCATCATTGTGTGTCGTGGCAGCCTGGCCTTACTGTGTCATGGCAGTCGGCATTGATGAGCTGCAGCAGAAGGTTCTCAAACTTCTCCAGGGAAGGCTGGAGGGAAATGGTCAGTCTACTCAGGGTGAAGGGCATCATCTTGACCAGCTGAGGCCTCAGCAGAGCGTCGCCTGGGGACAGTGGGAGCATAGCATGAATGCGTGCGCATACACTAATATTTACTTGACGGTTTCCCCCATCAGTTTAAAACCCTCAGCTGAATGTGAAAAGGGTTTTCTGTGAGGTTTATTGAATGAGTTACTTGCTAAAAGAATGCTTGTTCCTTCGGGACTGTATCGCAGGGGAGAAGTCATCGTCCTCAGCAGTGTAAAAGATTTGTGAAACAAGTGAAAATACATTTCAGTATATTTTGTTTGTGGCCCGTCAGTAAAATTCACGAGCCTCGTAAAATTTAATGCAGCACTGAAGACATTCTGGTAACCTCACAGTAAATGTATCTGTATATACAATGTTAAAAAGAGCTATAGGCTTTCTGATTCTAGGGTTTGTATCATCTTAGTAGCCTGTGCTGGATGATACACAAGTTTACCTCTTTTCTTAAACTTACAAACTTTTTATGATAGTTCTGAGTGCAAAAACTGATGAGAAATTACTATAAAAAGATATGAAATAATACTTTAAATGAGGGCATTATGTAATTCTAAGCTGCAATCAAGTAACTTT